TATATATATATATATATATATATATATATTTGTTTATTCAATGGAAGAGGAAGTTAGTTGGAATTATATACCAAGATTTAAGTGTTGGATAAATAAAAATTTTAAATTTATTGTATAGTCATTTAACATTCAAGCAAACAGAGGGTAATTCCTGTTTTTACTCCAGTCACTTAAGGTCTCACACCTCTTCCGGAAGCGGTGGCGTCTCTAATGGCACTACAACGTCAGAGGGAAGTGGAGGAGCAAAGGTGCATAAAGTTGCTTCTTTATGTCTTCTTTTTATATTTAAATTAGTTAATTTAGAAACTGTTTGCTTTCTCGATAGAATAGCCTTTAAATATTATTTTTATATTATTACTACCTCAAAACTGTTTAAATGTTTCTTTTTAGGGTTACCGGCCTGAAGAGGCTGTTCGCACGTTTAGCTCAAAACTGACTGCTTACGAAATATCGGAAATTTATGATTACCCGCGTGTTTACTTTGTTGGTTCTCAAGCTAAGAAAAGAGGTGGAAATATCGGAGGGCCAAACAATTCAGGATACGATGACGAAATGGGGAGTTATATGCTTGTTGCACACGACCATATTGCTTATCGCTACGAAGTTTTAAAAGTAATTGGGAAAGGAAGCTTCGGACAGGTTCGAACAGAGTTTTTGATCCATTCTTTTATAATGACTTACAGATTGTTGCTTGATTGTTACATGAATGAGACTTATAGTATGAAATTGGATAGTTTGTTATTTGAACTGGTTCTGACAAAGTTTTGTACAGGAAAAATGCTCTTATAATTTAGGTAATCAAAGCATATGACCATAAGTATCAACAATATGTCGCGTTAAAGTTGGTAAGGAATGAAAAACGTTTTCATCGTCAAGCAGAGGAAGAAATAAGAATACTGGTATGATGTTTTTTTGAGGGAAATATTTTGACGCTCTGGTTTTTACTGTCATTGATAGTTATTTCAAACATTTTGAAGGACCATCTTCGTCACCAAGATCCAGACAATACTTACAATATAATACACATGCTTGACTTCTTCAATTTCCGTAACCACAAGTGTATCACATTCGAATTGATGAATATAAATTTGTATGAACTCATTAAAAAAAATAAATTTCAAGGATTTAGTCTTCAGGTACCCTCTTTCTATTTCTCTCTCTCAAAAGAGGTCTATTCAGTAAGAGAATGATGCTTTTTTTGGTCGACTTCTAACAATTTTTATTTATTTCAGCTTGTGAGAAAGTTCGCACACTCGATTTTGCAGTGTCTTGAGTTATTAAATCGGAATCGTTTAATACATTGTGACTTAAAACCGGAAAACGTTTTGTTAAAACAGCAGGGTCGTAGTGGTATAAAGGTATATCTTCCCTTCTTTGAAATGTGTCAGTTGCACACTGTTATAGAACTCTGTTATGAAGTGTTGAAGCTTAGTTCAAACCGGTTTAGTCTTAATGTGGTGCGAAAGCACATTTAAAAAAGTTTTACCAAACTGTTCTTCTGATGAGCTTTCCTTTTTTTCAATTTTTGGCTTGTAGGAAGTAGTTTGATTATGTTTTTTCTCAACTTTTTTCTTTGTTATCTCGTATTCTTCGTATTTCTGACTGTATAAGGGTTGCAAAAAATTTAACCTAGACTAAAAAATTTGTTAGTTGTTTAGTTTTTAGAATGAGGTCTGATTTGCTGAGTCCATTTTTTTTTTTTCTAATGCTTTTTTCTTATCAGACCTCGTTCTTGGCTATCCTTTTGTCATTTCATTTTTCTTGGCTTGTACTTCAGAAGGTCTTGAAGAATTAATGAGCGATAGGCATTTGAGCATTTTAGAATTAGGAAGGCTAGCTAACTTTCCTAACCAATTTTCTCGCTAAAAATTAGTACATTTAAAAGTTAAGAGCAATTGGCAGTGCGTAGTATGTCGAGTTTCAGAACTTTTTTTTAAGATGGTAATAAATGTTCTTACAAGCAGAGACTTTTAAAATAAATTTTTCAAAGAGAAGAATTTTGCGTCAACACCATCCTTTTGAAGTTGGGCTTCTTCTGATTAAACTGCAATTATAGCATCTAGTGTTGTAAATATTTATTGAAAAGTACTTTTGTAGGTAATCGATTTCGGCTCTTCTTGTTTTGATGACCAGAGAATTTACACGTATATTCAGTCTAGATTTTACAGAGCTCCCGAAGGTATGTCGAGTTTTTGCTTCTCTAATTAAGACTTGATTGCTGTTAAGAAGGAATTTAGTAATACTTGGTTCTAATAGCCTTGCTTATTTACTGATCCATAGATATTATGTGGCTCTCTTCTCTAAAAAATTTGTTTTAGTAATAATGGGCGGAAAGTACGGCATGCCAATTGACATGTGGTCTTTGGGTTGTATCCTGGCTGAGTTGCTCACTGGTTATCCCCTGCTTCCAGGAGAAGATGAAAGTGACCAGGTAGACTGTGAAGCTTATTTCTTGCTGTATCAGTCTTTTTTGAAACTTTTATTGTATTTTCTTTATTTCTGTTCAATTTTTGGTGGTTAAATTAGCAAAAGCCTTTTTTCAGTTGGCTTTGATTATGGAGCTCCTAGGACTTCCCCCTTCAAAAGTTACTGATAATGCAAAACGTACTCGAAATTTTATTTCGTCAAAAGGCTTACCTCGCTATTGTACAGCTACTGTTTTACCGGACGGTTCTTATGCTCTTGAGGGGGGCAGATCAAAAAGAGGCAAAGTAAGAGGATTACCAGGTAGTCGTACCTGGACGTCTGCTTTGAAAAGCTTGGTTAGTTTTACTGAACAAA